TGACGACATAAGGAGATGGAAAGACATTCCATGTACATGGATTGGAAGAATAAACATAGTTAAAATGTCCATTCTACCTAAAGCAATCTACAGATTCAACGCCATCCCAATCAGAATCCCAATGACATTCTTTACGGAATTAGAACAAAGAATCCTAAAATTCATATGGGGCAACAAAAGACCCCGAATTTCTAAAGCAATACTGAGAAAAAAGAACAAAACAGGAGGCATCACAATCCCTGACTTCAAAACATATTACAAAGCTACAGTAATCAAAACAGCATGGTACTGGTACAAAAACAGGTGCACAGATCAATGGAACAAAATTGAAAGCCCAGAAATAAAACCACTCATCTATGGACAGCTTATCTTTGACAAAGGAGCTGAGGGCATACAATGGAGAAAAGAAAGTCTTTTCAACAAATGGTGCTGGGAAAACTGGAAAGCCACATGTAAAAGAATGAAAATTGACCATTCTTTTTCACCATTCACCAAAATAAACTCAAAATGGATTAAAGACCTAAAGGTGAGACCTGAAACCATAAGGCTGCTGGAAGAAAATGTAGGCAGTACGCTCTTTGACATCAGTATTAAATGGATCTTTTCGGACACCATGCCTTCTCAGAGAAGGGAAACAATAGAAAGAATAAACAAATGGGACTTCATCAGATTAAAGAGCTTCTTCAAGGCAAATGAAAACAGGATTGAAACAAAAAAACAACCCACTAACTGGGAAAAAATATTTGCAAGTCATATATCTGACAAAGGCTTAATATCCATAATATATAAAGAACTCTCACAACTCAACAACAAAACATCAAACAACCCAATTAAAAAATGGGCTGGAGACATGAACAGACATTTCTCCAAAGAAGATATACTGATGGCCAACAGGCACATGAAAAGATGCTCATCATCGCTGATCATCAGGGAAATGCAAATCAAAACTACACTAAGATATCACCTTACACCTGTTAGAATGACAAAAATATCTAAAACTAATAGCAACAAATGTTGGAGAGGTTGCGGAGAAAAAGGAACCCTCATACACTGCTGGTGGGAATGCAAACTGGTGCAGCCACTATGGAAAACAGTATGGAGATTCCTCAAAAAACTAAAAATAGAACTACCATACGATCCAGCCATCCCACTACTGGATATTTATCCAAAGAGCCTGAAGTCAGCAATCCCAAAAGCCCTGTGCACCCCAATGTTTATTGCAGCACTGTTTACAATAGCCAAGACATGGAAGCAACCTAAGTGTCCAGCAACAGACGAATGGATAAAGAAGATGTGGTACATATATACAATGGAATACTACTCAGCTGCAAAACAGAACAAAATCATTCCATTTGCAATTACATGGATGGACCTTGAGAGAATTATGTTAAGTGAAATAAGCCAGCGAGAGAAAGATAATCTGTGTATGACTCCACTCATATGAGGAATTTAAAACTATGGACCAAGAAAAGTTTAGTGGATACCAGGGGAAAGGTGGGGTGGGGGGTGGGCACAAAGGGTGAAGTGGTGCACCTACAACATGACTGACAAACATTAATGTACAACTGAAATTTCACAAGATTGTAACCTATCAATAACTCAATAAAAAAAAAACATTAAAAAATATATATATAAAAACATACTAACACAATCAAAGATTACCTTCCTGTATATTCTTCTGAGATATTTTTCTATGGAGAGATGTATAGATAAATGCATTTTTAGCAAAATAAGATTATATGCATATTGATTTATAACCTGTTTCAATTTAATGATTTCCACCTATTCATTTCACTAATTCTTTATCTCATTTAATACCCATATACAAATTTCACCAATCTCAAAATGGCCTTTACAGCTGGTTTATCAAAACCAGAATTTAATCCAAAACAATGTAACTGAGTATGATGTCCCATAAGTCTCTTCATCTTGATGAAGTAGAAACAAGGTGCAGATCTTTACTTGTACAGTAACACTATCAGGATCCTCCTCCAGTCCTTGAGATTTCGCTCCTGGAGCACATAACGATGTTTCTACTTAGAATTTGTCACGAATGTCATAGACGGTATTTCCACCAAGTCTGGCAGAATCTCACACTTTACCTTAAACCAAACACAAGTTGCATGGGAAATTAGAGGTCAGATAGCAAAATATAAACATTTCAAACAGTATGTAGAAGGAAGAACATGAAACAAAGAAGTGACCTCTCACTGATCCTGTACGAAGAAGAAATCAATGCCCCAGAAAGAAACAGGGTACTAGTGGAGCTATAGGATTTCTGTGGGTCAGTGATTTTTCAGGAATTAGTGCTAATAATTAGTTTCAAGAAACCAAAAGAAAGACACCAGAAACTCAAAATACAGTAAAGCTCATTAACTTTTATATTGTCCTATAGGAGCTCTTCAAAAGCGGTTTGCCAGATTTTAAATTTGTTTTACCAGAGCTCAAGTTTAGATATTATTCAAATCAAACCCTTGGTTTGTGAGAAAATTTTCACAGTCGAATAAGGAAGAGATAAGACAGAGCAGTATCATGAAAATCCTTCTCATTGCTGTAGCCCCCTATATAATATGTTCTCTCTAACGCGGCAAAATATCCCGTGAATAGAATACTTTTGGATAATTAAAACAATACAGAATAGATTTTAAAATGAGGAAAGTAAGCTATAGGACAATATGAATAGCATGGTATCATTTGTGATAAGAATGGAATAATTTGCTTATACTTGAAAATATTCTGAACACATGACAGACAATTGCCATCTTTGGAATGTGGAACCGGATGAAGAATGAGGCATCCACTTTTTATTCTACATATATCTATAATTTTTAGATTTTAAAAACATAACATTTTTACCCTCTGATATTTCCTGAAGACCAGAAGGCGTGTACTGAAAAATTGGTACACGTTAGAATAGGACACTAAAAACACATCATTAATAACGTGTGATCATTTTAATGGTGGTGTCAGGATAGGACCGGCTCTAGTGCAACAAGATGACTATTTTATCAGGCTTTTCTTGCAGATTAGAGGTGGACAAAGCAGCAAAGCACAGGGAATTTGAGTTACAAACCGAAGTGGGCATCAAGGAGCTGAAATGGCTTCCTTTCCCTGGTTACGAGAGCTCCACATCACTGGAAGAGCACGACAGAGGGTAAATGCTCTTCTGTCAGGGATAGAGGCATTTCTGTTTGGGTACATTTAGAATAGATGATCAATAAATGCTAAAATTATAAAAATAATACAAATCTAAAATGTTTCCATTCATTCAAATTCTATCTAAAGACAGGTGAAATAAACATTTATCTTCCAAAACTGTCAAGGCCTTCCAAATAATTAAAAAAAAATTTTTAATTGTGGCAAAATACACGTATAAAGTTTACCATCTACATCTTTTTTGTTGTTGTTGTTTTGGATGGAGTTTTAATAAAACATCACTTGGCCAGTTTTACAGAGGTAAGCTTTCACATTTTGTTTCCAAATGAGTAAGCTGGTATAATTTGGCAGGAAGTTACAGGCCCCCTTGTAACCTCTGTGGATGACTCTATAGACGGAAAACTCTCATTATTCACCATCTAAAATTTACCAAATTTGTTTTGAACTTATTTTTTATAACCATATTTTTATTTAACCCACCTTAACCATTTTTAAGCATATAGCTCAGTGGCATTAAATATATTCACTTTCTTGCACATCCATCACTACTATCTATTTCCAGAACTCTTTTCATCTTGCAAAACTGAAACTCTACCCATTAAACAAAGACTCCCCATTTCCCTCTGCCCCAGTCCCTGGTAACAACCCTTCTACTTTCTGTCTCTATGAATTTGACTGCTCTAGCTACCTCACAAGTGGAAACACATAGTATTTGTATTTTTGTGATTAGCTCATTTCGCTTAACACAATGTCCTCAAGGTTCATCCATGTTGTAGCATATTGCAGAATTTCCTTCCTTTTTGAGGCTGAATAATACTCCATTATATGTATATCACATTTTGTTTATCCATTCATCTGTCAATGGACACTTGAGTTGCTTCCACCCCTTGACTATTATGAATAATGCTCCTAAGAACATGGGGGCACAAATATCTTGACAAGACCCTGCTTTCAATTCTTCTGTATATATACCCAGAAGTAGAATTGCTGGATCACGTGGTAATTCTATTTTTAATTTTTTGAGGAATTGTCCTACTATTTTTCCATGGCAGACATACTGTTTTACATTCCCACCAACAGTGCACAAGGGTTCCAATTTCTCCAAAACCTCACTGACACTTGTTATTTTCTGGATTTCTGTTATAGTAGCCATTCTAATGACTGTGAGGTGGTTCTAATAACTTTTTAAAACAAGTTATTTCAGAGAAGTTATTCCAAAACCTGACGAATTTAGGAAAAAGAACTTTTTTTTCCTGAGAAAAATGTTGCCATAGTTCTCAGCATTTCCCACCTGAGCCAAGAGGTATTTTTCTTCTAAGATGATATCATTTATCTCAGTTTTTGATAGGCTAAATTTGGATTGCTGTTGTTGATAATAGGACCAGGTGTATCCTGTTATATTTTGCAAAACTGCCTAAATGTTTCTTACTTCAGAATCACATGACCTAAAAATGATGACTGCAGGAATATATCCCCCCCCAAAAAGGGAAATGAATCAGCTACAGAGGAGAAGGGACTGGGAAAGAACCTGTAAAGAGTTATGTAGTTCATCCGACCTTTTACTTAAGTACACTGAACTATAGCTTCAGCATTGCTAAGCTTTAATATTTGACCTCAAAGATCACAGAAGACAGAAAATGTGAAATTCTTGGGCTTTTTAAAACTCAAATTTATTTCATAATATGGTGAAAATGGTTAGAATGAGGAAGTGGGAAAAAAAAAAAAAAAACCGCTGCATAACTCTATGCAATAGTTGGGAGATGCCCAGCACTGATGGATATTAAACACTAATGTGTTTAATCAAAGTCTTTCTTGGAAGAGAAAGGAAAACAATGACATGAGAGCGATTTTGATTCTTTTTACTACACTTTTCCTGTGATCATATTTAAGAAGTTCAGTGACAAAGGTTGTGGAGAAAGAACTGGTCCATGAACAGCAGTGTTGTGTGGTGGAAGTAGCTTTGAACTTGATCTCTGAAGAACTAGGTTTGCGTACCAGGTTTGTCACTTTACTAGCTGTGCAATCTTGCTTCAGTCACTTAACCCATTTGAGCTTCCGTTCCCTCATCTATAAATCAGAGTTAATACCAGTTACTTCATAGGACTATGGTAAAGATTAAATAAGATGATAGGTGTGATAGCATCTGGCAAACAAAAGATACAGGTTAAAGGTTAATCTCATTCTTTTTTCCAAAGTAGGGTAGGAGTTGTCTAGTTATTTTGTAGGGCTTAAAGCATGCATAATTGGGCTCTAGATACTGTTTCTTTTTTTGAGGAAAATTAGCCCTGAGCTAACTGCTGTCAATCCTCCTCTTTTTGCTGAGGAAGACTGGCCCTGAGCTAACATCTGTGCCCATCTTCCTTTGCTTTATATGTGGGATGCTAACCACAGCATGGCTTACCAAGTGGTGCCACGTCCGCACCCGGGATCTGAACTGGCGAACCCCGGGCCACCGAGAAGCAGAATGTGTGAACGTAACCGCTGCAGCACAGGGCCGGTCCCAAGGGAAGTGTTTCTTCAAGAATGACTTGAATCAGAATTTTTCATATTCCCTCCAGAAATATGCTTCTTTTCCATCTCAGTAAATGAGATCTATCATCCATCTATGCAACTGTATAAGTCAAACCTACCAATTAGTCTACAGTTTTTCTCCTTTCTTCACCCACCGAGTCTGTTGCTTCTACCTCCAAAATAGATCTCAAATCCAGCCACTTCTCTCTATCTCCTCTCCCACTGCCATATCTCTGCTTGCACCTTGTCCCTTTCCAATCTATTTCTACTCAGCAGCAAGAATAATCTTTAAAAACCACATCACTCCTCTGCTTAAAACTTGTTAATGACTCCTCGTCGCACTTAGAACAAAATGCAAATTCTTTACCACGGCCTGCCAAAAAGGCCCTGTGATCGGACTGCTGCCTAGTTCTCTAGCCTTATGCTGCATCTCCAGTTTACTTTGCTCCAAGCACACTGGTTTCCTTTCTGCTCCTTGAAACACCAAGTGCTTCCCCACCTTTTGCACTTGCAGTTTTCTCCGCTTCAAACACTTTCCCTCAGGTTTTATCTCATACTTCAGGTTGAAATGTCACCTCAGAGAGCCCTTCCCTGGCCACTGAATCTAAAGCTGCCCCCTGCCCCTTAACTCTTTATTACATCATAATTAGCCATGAGTAAGTTGTTTCCGTGTTCATTGTTTGTCTTCTCCCAAAGGCAGGAACTGTGAAAAGATTTTTTTTTCCTTCTCTAGTAATCTATGGGCTTGTTTGGTATCAGAGGTCTGTAAATCTTACAGTAGGTATCCTAGGAAACTAAGAAATACACGTCAACTTCTTTCTGACAATTCTTGGCCGCACTAAACTTCCTCTCCATCCTAACTTCTCCATGGTCGGCTACAAGTGCTTCCTTCTGCAACTCTTTCAGATTTCCTCAATTTACCCTTCCCATCTCCACCTCCTCCCACACATAACCAATCTCCAGCTTTCCCACTTTGACTCCCATCCCCACCTATGATGGACTGAATTGTGTTCCCTCAAAATTCACATGTTGAAGCCCTAACCCTCAATGTGACTGTATTTGTAGATAGGGCCTTTAAGGAAGTAATTAGGGTTAAATAAGGTCATACGGGTAGGGCTCTAATCTGATAGGACTGACGTCCTTATAAGAAGAGGAACAGACATCAGAGACCACTGTGAGTGTGCACATAGAGAAAAAGCTATATACAGCTTGAGGATACAGCAAGAAGGTGCTGTCTGCAAGCCAGGAAGAGAAGTTTACCAGACATCAACCACGCTGGCACCTTGACCTTGGACTGCCAGCTCCCAGAACTGAGAAAGTCAACTTCTGTTCCTTCAGCCACGCAGTCTGCAGTGTTTGCTGTGGGAGCCCGAGCAGACTAGTACACCACCCGTAGCACTTCCATCCTCTTTCAAGCGCAAAACGTCCCAGTTTTTTATACTCCCATTCTACCCTGGAATATAAGAAAAAAAGATATCTTTTCCTCCTCTTCTCTCAGCTCTAGATTACCTACTAACTAGACCATACGCACCAAAAGGACAGGAGTTGTTCTGTATGGCTCACAGCTGTAACCCAGGTGCCTTGCGTGGCAGGCATTAATAAATATTTGTTGCCTAAATTACAACCCATTCAGTCTTGAAAGAGATCTTCGCTCACACGTCCTTCTTCTCCAGCATTTCCAATCTCTCTCCACTAGTTCCTTCTTGTTTTCTCACATTTATGAGCCTCCCCATTTAGAATATAACTCACTTGTTACTGCTGCCTTTTCAAATGTCCTGGTTCTCTGATTCCTTTGAATAGTGGCTGGTTTTTATTAGCCTCCTTTGGTACCAGTCAGTCCTCTTCATCCCTTTGCAATCTGGTTTCAGTGCCATCAACTACAGGGATAAATGAACCATAGTTAAGGAGGCCTCCTTGTAAACCAAAAGCAGCCATCTTTTCCCAGCCCTCTCCTTCTTTGATCTCAATGTCCTATTTTGGACCCTACTGATAACTACCTTCTTTCTTAAATTCTGTAATGGGGTTGAGGACATTGTAGCACTGTACTTCCCTACTTCTCCTTTTCAGACTACACCTTCTGTCTCCTTCGGGCACATTCTAAGGACTAACTCTCTGCTCACTCTTTTTCCCCACTTGCTTCCTTCAAGAATTTTTGTATTCTCTTAATTTAAATTATCAACTCTTTTGTTAATGACTTTTGAGAAATCACAGCTGAGTTGATTAATTTTGATTATTTTTCTTTTCTTTTCTTTTTTTTTGCTGGGAAAGATTCACCCTGAGCCAACATCTGTTGCCAATCTTCCTCTCTTTTTTTTCTCCCCAAAGCCCCAGCACATAGTTGCATATTCTGGTTGCGTCCTTCTAGTTTCTCTATGTGAGCCACTGCCACAGCATGGTCACTGACAGACGAGTAGTGTGTCTCTGCGCCCAAGAACCAGGCCAGGCTGCTGAGTGGAGCATGCTGAACTTTAACGGCTAGGCCATCAGGGCTGGCTTTGATTGATTTTGTTTTAAATGCAGAATCTTAAGCCTCAACTTAGCACTCAGAACAGCCCAGGAACCCCACTATGTTTCTCTAATGGGAACACATTCCCACTCCCTAAAATGATTGACAGAAAGCCACCTCTTTCCTCAAACCTTTTGCATCCCTTTCTCCATTCTCAGTTTTAGCAAAGACCTTTGCTCACCTGTCATGGAGAAATTAGAAGCCATTGGAGGCTCTCTATTTTTCCCACCACCAAAGGTACAAAGCCCTGCTTTTATTTGTACCTCGATTCTTTTCATTTACAATGCAGGAAGAGTCCTCCTTCCCATCAAAAGCCAATCTCTCCATTTATGTTCTATCCCTCTCCTCTTTTTATTCTTAGGACACACCATGTTCTTTCCTGCCTCAGGGCCTTTGCATAAGCTCTTCCATCTGCTTAGAGTGCTTTCCTCCTATTCTTTGTATGGTTCATTCTTTTTGCTTTAGATCTCAGTGTAAATGCCACCACCTCAAAGGAGGCCTTCCTTGACCATTTTATCTAAAATAAGCTAGACTTGGGGCCAGCTCCGTAGCTGAGTTGTTAAGTTCATGCGCTCTGCTGTGGCAGCCCAGGGTTCGGATCATCAGGCCACGTTGAGGTGGCGTCCCACATGCCACAACTAGAAGGACCTGCAACTAAGATATACAACTATGTACGGGGGGGTTTGGGGAGATAAAGCAGAAAAAAAAAAAAAGATTGGCAACGGTTGTTAGCTCAGGTACCAATCTTTAAAATAAGCTAGACTTTTATTTCTTATCTCAGTCCTTTGTTTATGTCCTTCTGCAAAGGGTTCCTGGACCCAATTGCAATGTGTGTGCGTGCGTGCGTGTGTGTCTGTAGGCTTCCCCAAACCAATAAGCAGTTCTCAAATGCCAGGAGGGTGTCTGAGAATTCAACTCAATTCTGACACTATCTAGCAGGAGATAGAATCAGATTCCACAGGTAAAGGGCTCAGTCCCACAAGACTGCCCTCTACTTTACATGACAGTTGCCAGCCCAGGCTGTTACCTGTGCATCTGACTATTAAATCAGAGGTTCCAACAACCCCTTCTCGGGTTTGATTAATCTGCTAGAGTGGGTCATAGAACTCAAGAAACCTGTTTATAATTTATTACAAAGGATATGAATCAACAGCTAGATGAAGAGATACATAGGTTGAGGTTCGGAACAAAGGAGTTTCTGTGTTAGAGAAGCTTAGGACTTGACACAGTGGCACATGGAAGCATTCAGGTTCCCCACCATGGACGCTCTCCATAAAGAGGACAAATGAGCTGCCCTTTTGGGTTTTTATTGAGGCTTCATCACATGTTCATTAGTGAATAAGTCATTGGCCACTGGCAATTGATTCAACCTCCAGTTCCCCACCTCTACCCAGAGGTCAGGAGGTGGGAGTGAAATTTCCAATCCTCTGATAACATGATTGGCTCCACTGGCAACCAGCCCTCATCCTTAGAAGCTTTCTAAAAGTCACCTCATTAGCATAACAAAAGACTTCTTTATCATTGTTGACACTTAAGAATTTCCAAGTGTTTGGGAGCTGTGAGCCAGGAAGTGTGAACGAAGACCAAATATTTATAGGAAATATACTGTGGCTATCTGAATGACCAAATATATATTTCTTATAACTCAAAATATTGCACCTTCATGATATTTGCTTCAACTTGAAGTTATCACGTTTTGTTCACTCTTTTTGTTTGTATTCTCAAACTGAATGTAAGAGCCGTGAGTTTACACATCATATCTATCTTGTTTACCATTATAGCTCCAGATCTAACGTGACTGACCTATCAGAAGTGCTCAGTAAATATTTAATGTATAAATGAATGATAATATCACCTTCCTATTTCCTCCAGTGATTAGAGGATAGGAGTGGAAAAGAGAAATTTTGCTGTATGTCCTTTGTACTCTATGAACCGGTGAATATATTACCTATTCAAAAATAAATTACATTGAAATTAGAAAAAGAAGGCAGTTGTATTTTTTTAGTCAGAGATGATGGTGGCTTGTCTTAGGATGGTGGCAGTGGAGCTGAAAAGAAGTAAATAGACTCAATATGTAGGATTTCATGATTGGGTGTGAGGGAGTGAAGCATACATAGGAATGTTCATCACAGCCTTATTTATGATGATAAATAATTAGAAACAACTTAAATTTCCAGTGACAGGGAAATAGTAAATCATGGCACATCTACTTGATTAAATAGCATTCCATGTTTTTAAAAGAATTTATAACATGGGAAACTGTTCACGTTATACTAAGTGGAAAAAAACATAAAAGTATGATCATGACCACGTAAAAACCCAAAGCTATGCACTGTGAAAAATAAAGAGGAATATAGAGTAAAAAATTAATAACAAGTGAATGTCTTTGAGTTGTGGAATTATGACTTTTTTAAAAAGGTCTAGCTCAATCCCTGGATAACATCTAAAGCAAAGCCATAATCCCTCTTTCTCGATTTGTTGGAAACTAGAAGTGGCTAAGCAGGAAACCTGGTCAATTCTTTGGTCAACTCCAAGTTGGCAGTTAAAGGTTTTCTCTTCTCAAGATAGAAACCAGGGGCCGGCCCGTGGCCAAGTGGTTAAGTTTGAGTGCTCCCCCTCAGAGGCCCAGGGTTTTGCTGGTTCGGATCCTGGGCGTGGACATGGCACCGCTCATCAGGCCATGCTGAGGCGGTGTCCCACATAGGACAAGCAGAGGCACTCACAACTAGAGTATACAACTAGGTACTGGGGTGCTTTGGGAAGAAAAAAATAAACAAAGAAGATTGGCAACAGTTGTTAGCTCAGGTGCCAATCTTAAAAAAAATAATAAAATTAAAAATTAAAAATAAGATAGGAACCAAATTTCGGAGAAGAGTTATCTTCCAAAGCCCTGGACATCAAACAATTTTTAAGGCTAGAAAGGCTTTATTTTTAAATTAATTTTTTAAAACAATTGATCTCTATTAATTACAGAAAAATTAGAAAACCTAGACAGGTAAAAATAAGTCACGTAATTCCATCATTGTAAAAGCCACAATTAACACTTGGGTAGATATTTCACTTTTAAAATGAATATGCATAAGTATTCTTTGTTTACATAGTATACAGTTTTATAGTTTAGTTTTTTCACTTAATAATATCTCGTATCAGTAGATATGGAACAGTAATATTTTAATAATATTATTATATGGATCTATCATAATTTATTTAGCCAATTCCTTAATGTTGGATATTTAGGTTGTTTCCAATTTTTCACTCTGCATATCTCTCTCTGGCTACTTGCCCTATTATTTTCTTAGGATATTATTCCTAGCACTGGAATTTCTGAATGAAAGGATGTATTTAAAGACACTACTGTCAAATTGATCCCAAAAGTTCTGCCAATATATATTCCCAACAACATGCCTCTCAACTGCTTTCCCACGCCTGTCAAAATACATTCACTCTTGCCCATCTAAGAGGTAGAAATTGGTATCTCACTCAATGTTGTTTTAATTTATGGGTCTTTGATTACTAAGGAGATTAAACATTTTTTGTTTGTTGACTGTTTACATTTGTAGATTCCTGTTCATGTCGTATGCTCCTCCTCCACCCATTGAGTGTTCTTGAGAAGTTCTTGACCAGAAACAGGACTGTAAACCCTTGAGGAACTGACTGAATGAAAAAGGCTTAGAGTGAGTTAGGAAGGAAGGAATAGAAGGAAGGGAGGAAGGAAGAGAGGTCCTTTAAGTCTGAAGGGGAAAAAGATCTTAGATCAAAGATTATAAAAGCAAAAAATAATTTTGTTTTGCAGAAAACTCTTATTTTAAATGAAACTATGTGGAACTCATATATGAAACAGAAAAAAGTGGAGGCGCTCTGGTCAAATTGGGAATAGGTAACACATAGGTATACCTGCTCAGCCTCCTCTTAGCATAACCATCCCCACTCATCCAGCAGAAGCTGTCTAGACCCTGTCTTTTTTTCTTTTTTTTTTGCAGGGAAGAATTCACCCTGAACTAACATCTGTTGCCAATCTTCCTCTTTTTTTTTCTTTTCCCCCTCCCCAAAGTCCCGGTATATGGCTGCATATCCCAGTTGTAAGTTGTTCTAATTCTTCTCTGCAAGCTGCTGCCACAGCATGGTAACTGACAGAAGGGTGGTGTGGTTCCACAACTAGGAAAGGAACCTGGGCTGCCAAAGCAGCGAGCAACGAACTTGAACCACTAGGCCATCCAGGCTGGCTCTAGACCCTGTCTTATCTTAGGGCTCCAAGAAACTATATTTTAAAACTACTGCACAACCAATATTAATGTACTTGTATTCTTTTCATAAACAATACAATGAGTTAAAATTATGCCTGTTTTAATAGAGCTCTCTACTTTTGGGAAAAAAAGGCATAAATGAGTGGGAAGGTATGTTATCATTCAATCTCACTATGGTATGAACCATGCTATTCACAACGTAGGCATCTGGTGGCATAGCAAACTATTCAAACTGCAAGAAGAATACTGAGAAGGAACTCACATCACCTCTAAGGTGCTAGCTTTGCAAAGTCATACCTATAAAGCACACAAAACTCCTGAATCTATTCCTTCAGACTTATTCTTTCATCGAAGGACGAATAAACCTAAAGCATAGCTACTCAAATGTCTGTAATTTCAAACTTTCTGTCATTTCAAAGAGCATCCATATTCATAATTTTTACCACCAAACTGGTTCCCCTTTCCAAGTTCCCCATTTTCTTGCAGCTTTCGAGTTAGTAGTGACTTTCCCCTCTCCTTTTAAGCTCATCTAGTCACCAACTCTTATTAATTCTTCCCTTACAGAGACATGTAGATTCATTGTTCCCCTACTTACATGGCCACTACTTTCATCTGGACCCTTATTCGTGTCTGGATTGCCGCAAGTCTCCCATCCTGGAGATTATGGCCAAATCAATTTTTTTTTTTTTTAAGATTGGCCTGAGGTAACATCTGTTGCCAATCTTTTTTTTTTTCCTTCTCCCCCAAACCCCCCAGTACATAACTGTATATTCTAGCTGTAGGTCCTTCTAGTTCCTCTATGTGGGATACTGCCTCAGCATGGCTTGATGAGCGATGCTAGGTGTGCACCTAGGATGTGAACCAGCGAACCCTGGGCGACTGAAGTGGAGTGTGTGAACTTAACCATTCGGCCACAGGGCAGCCCCCCAGATTGATTTTTATACCATCTAATGTCAATTGGATCTGTTTAGACTTCTGACCCGGTTTCTGGACTGTTCTATGGTCTAGGCTTGTATCTTTCAGATTATAGGATAATCCAACTTTCCAAACATTAATTTGTCAGTGCTATACAAGAGGCAGAAAAGCTAAACCTCACTAGTGGTTTTATGAATTACCTTGGCATGCTCTCAGCATTCTAGTCTCTTTTGATTCTTGAGTGTGATGGCTTTAGTTTTGATCTCGTTTTGGGGTCTGATCTCAGACTGCTATTTACATTTTCCTTTTGATACTGAAATGATTATGTCATATAATTGCCTAGGAGTTTAGGTTGTTTTTTTTTGCTGAGGAAGCCTGGCCCTGAGCTAACATCCATGCCCATCTTCCTCTACTTTCTATGTGGGACGCCTACCACAGCATGGCTTTTGCCAATCGGTGCCATGTCCACACCTGGGATCCCAACTGGCGAACCTCAGGCTGCCAAGAAGCAGAACGTGCGAACTTAACTGCTGTGCTGCTAGGCTGGCCCTGGGTTCCTGTTTTTAATGTCTTGAGTTTAGCCACCTACTTAAGACATACGACTTCAATTCAGAACAAATTGTTCAACCTGGCAACCCTGGTTTTCCTTCAACTGGCACTCTCATCTATGGCAGATTCTCTCTTGACGTTTTTTTTAAAGCTTCAGTGCCTGGTTGTGTATCCTAGTTGTTAGCTTTTAGTTCTCTATGTGAGAGTTCGCTATGTGAGCCATTGCCACAGTATGATAAATGACAGATGGGTGGTATGGTTCCACCATCGGGAAATGAACCCAGCCCGTGGTGGTGAGAGCAGTGAATCTTAATCCCTTGACCACCAGGGCTGGCTCAACTATTTTATTTTTATTTATTTATTTATTTTTAAAGATTGGCACCTGTGCCATGTCTGCATCCAGGATCCGAACCAGGAAAACCCTGGGCCACCAAAGCAGAGCGCGAGAACTTAACCACTCGGCCATAGGGCTGGTCCCCTATTTTATTCTTAATGCACCTTTCCAGTGCCACCATGTTGCACAACTCTAAGCAGAATCATTCACATGTATTCTATGTATATACATTCATATATGTATTTTATATGTATTCTATTCGAACATATTATGATTTACATTTTATGTTCTCTTTTCCCAACCTACTGCAGCCATTTTTTCTTCACAGTTGCGGCTACTAAATGCCCACCTGTAGTCAGAACCCCACCCCAGTTTCTAGAACCAGCCTGGCAGGAAATGAGAGGTTTAATAGCTCATGACTTTCTAAACATCTTTACCATACCGGGTACTTTGTCTTATACTGGTTGACACAACACACGTGCTGGCCCTGTAATATGAGCTGATCTGAATCACAACCGAGCAAAATTTGAAAGGAAATAACAGAAAGAATTATATCAAAGATGATCAAAATGATCCCTAGCAACTGTAATCATAACTTATAAGTGAAAATGAAAATGAATGATTTAATGGATTGCTTGCCCAAGTTATTTGTTCAAATGCCAAGAAGCAACTTCTTTACCATAAAAGTGTTTCTGTATCTTCTTTTATTCTCCTTACTCTAGAGAGAAATCTCAGGCATGTTTACTCATACTATCAATTCGTCACCTCATTAAATTCTGCAAAAAAAAAAAATCTATAAAGCATATTTGGAATTACAACTACAAAAAGACAATGAAGAACCTTATTTTGTTCTTGGAAAACTTTATTTCAGTTTAAACAAAAAAGCAAATGTTATTCACGTCATCCAGTGACAGTTGGAAGAGTGTGATCTTCCTTCATAGCTGTTAGCCGGCAAACTTCAAATGAGAGACGCAATCTAGGTAAAAGACACTTATCATTTCAGATTATATTTACCTCCCAAAGAGATAAGGAAAACCGGTCAAAAAGATTAGAAAGAGATTTGAATGAAGTCACATCAGAAAAACTGAGAGAGTGATGTCTAATGCTTTGGGAAATTCTGTCTCCACTTAATATTCAGAAGAATAAATTCTAAAAGATCAAGAAGAGGTGGTTTATACTATAAGTATTAGAAAGAATGATACACATTTTTGTCAGTTTCATATGACTATTAGGATTCAAGATGTTATTTAAAATCCTAGATGTAAGCCCAAACAGTTAGTTATTGCCCCAAATGGAAAATTTACATTTCTTTAGAGGAAAGATAAAAATATGACTATTTGGATCTTGTCTAAATTTACAATTGATTAAGTCCAATTTAACGTTTACAGAAAAAAAAAGACATGGTAGCACTGTTACACACCTGGAAAGGATTCCAAATAGAATGTTTCCATTAACAACAGCAACCAAGAAATCTAATTCAGTCTACAGATTGTATTTCTGAGCAAGTAATAAACTTTTAGTTATTTCTTTGAGTCTGCCTTCCGCTAACAATGTACAACTTGTCAGATAACTACATCACTGATTTCCAAGCTCTCCTTCTACTGTATTTGTCCCCTTTAACTAAGATGTACCTAGAAATAATAAGACAACTCAGAATAGCTGTACTGGCCTTCAATAATTTTGTTTTACTAATTAGTTGATCATATTTCATGAGGGCTAATGTCAAATTTATCTAACAGTTTGATTTCAGAATTACTTACAATAGTGGAATACTGCATCATATATAGAAATCTTGGTCAATAATCTTCTACTTACATCTCATAACCAATTATCTTCCTAAACAAACTATTTACAAATTTAAAATATACAATATTGCTTAAAATAAATATACAATATATAATTTCTACATTCTCAGACAGGTTTAAAAATGAGGTAATAAAAACTTAACTGATTAAACCTTTTACCATTCTGGAAATGGCTTAGGGAAATGATGGTGAAATTTTTTTTCGTAGGTCTTTTCACGTTTTCTTTGAATGTTTCTGAGTACCTCCTTTTCTATGATGAAATATTATGTAAAAAGTCCTTAAGCTTTGTTGGATAGTCTGTCATCACTCCAGTTGCTCCCAAATCAAAAGCTCTTTTGTATTCTTGTTCTTCATTTAATACCCAAACATACACCTGAAAATGAGAAGCATAAGAAATATGAGAGAAAAAGATAAAACAGAAAATTATTTTTATAATAGCATTTATCTATGACAATCTCAGCACACTTAGAAATAACTTTTAAAAAGTGCAATTTTAAGAAATCATTGAACCCTTTAAAAAAATTCTGCTTTGCTCATTAAGTATGCACTGTCCCACCCCTCTGGCTTTAGCTATTCTCACCTACACAGTGGAGTCTAGCTACTGAAATGCCAATGCTTTCTTGTGAACTATAAGGCAGAGTTTAATGTCTTCACATGTGAGCCAGTAAAGCAGCAGCATCACAGTTGGGACCAAATTAAGTCAGTTAAAATTTCCTGCCCCTTACACTTGTGTTAAATTGATAAGAACTACACCGTTTCCAAAACACATCATTCCAGAACTCACCTGAATGCCTCGGGCAGTGAGGTGGTCAAACAAAGCCTTTCTCATTAGTAAACTAGAAAAGAAAAGCAGAACAGATTTACGTACTTCTTAGCCCTAATAAAGGACTAAAGTTAGTTCTTAGTCCTAATTTAGTCAATTTAGAGTTTATAATTCCTAGATGAATTTAATTTCAACGCTTCAGCAATTACAAGCAATGGCCTCAAGTAATAATAGCTGCTGTGGATGCATTTACATCTTAACTGATGGGTCTCCCTCCACTGCAGGGCTGCTTACTGGTAAACAATCAGAACCTCCTTTCTACTCCTTGCTGACACTAAATAGATCCTCAGGAGACCCATTCTTATTGAAGCAGCTCAGTGAAGAAGAGGCTTCCTCATTTTCCCTGCTGGCACCATAGTGAGAGTGAGAAAAAGCAGGGAAATCTGTGTCCATAACTTTCTAAGTTAACATAAGACAGCAAACTTGGGCCAAGTTCTATAACATCATAGTTCACTTACATAATGGTTAGTCTTTTGTGAGCTATCTTAGAAATCTAATGTCCATTAATTACACTATCCTATATAGAGGGAAAAAGCATTTTATTTTTTAGTTCCAAATAACTGAATTAAAAGTGAACTTTAGACTACAAATCACTTGAGCAAGATGGGAACTAACTGTACTGGAAAGTTATACATATTATTTCTATTCTGTCTATGTCTGTTAGAATGATAAAATAACAGAAACTAAAAATTATATGCATTTAACACCAATTAAACATGCATCCTTGAGGCCAGCCCAGTGGCACAGTGGTTAAGTTCACACGCTCTGTTTTGGCCACCTGGGGTTCGTGGGTTCGGATCCTGGGCGCAGATCTACACACACTGCTCATCAAGCCATGCTGTGGTGGCATCCCACATACAAAGTAGAGGAAGACTGGCATGGATGTTAGGTCAGGGCCAATCTTCCTCAAGCAAAAAGAGGAAGATTGGCAACAGATGTTAGCTCAGGGCTAGTCTTCCTCACCAAAAAAAAAAAAAAAAAAAATCCTTGAAAACTAGAGATTAAATCAAGAATAAAGCATAAAAGAATAAACCCTGTGGCACAGATACTAGTTTTTCAACTCTTTGAAAGAGGAGCTAAGTAACAAAAGGTTGTGATTTAGTACTATTATTTAAGCATTCAAGGTTCCATTTTTTTTAATTAAATTTTTTTTTAAAGATTTTATTTTTCCTTTTTCTCCCCAAAGTCCCCCAGTACATAGTTGTGTATTTTTAGTTGTGGGTCCTTCTAGGTGTAGCATGTGGGATGCTGCCTCAGCATGGCTTGATGAGCGGTGCCATGTCTGCACCCAGGATCCGAACCGGTGCAACCGTGGGCTGCTGAAGCGGAACATACAAACTCAGCCACTCGGCCATGGGGCCAGCCCCTGAAGGTTCCATTTTAAAGCAAAACATAGCACGATAACTTTGTGCTTTTTACCTAAAGTTAAACTCAACATGTCTTAGAAAGTAAGGCACTTTCTTTAAAATAGATGCCCACCCTACAGATGGGGGCTTCCTTTCTGCTGTGAAGTCTTGGTGGAGATTTTTCTGAGAAATGTGCCATTAGTCAACATACATTTTTACATTTACTGTATTGCTATACACACTTCTTTTCACCAAGGTTTTGACTGCAGGCTAGTGGAAACAGCAAATAAGAAGGGAATGATTATATAGCCCAGCTCTGCTCCTAATTAGCTAGATATCTCCAAGCAAACCATTTAACTTTGGGCGGGTGAGTGCTCAGTTCTCTCCAGCAGTTGGATGAGATTGTCTCTCAAGATTCCTCCTAAGATTTTATGACTAGAAATTAAGCTAGTTCTAAATGATTCATACATATCCATTGGCGTAGTAGGTGCTTAACACACCCTTGTTACAAATTACATGTACAAAGCTTGCTTTAAATTATAAGTGTAGTATTTAACAGATATAGCTAAAACAATAACTTGTATATCAAGAATCTAAAATTCTTACATATCAGAAAGCCAGATGAGAAACTTTTGACTTCTGGACATGGTGTGTGGTTCTCTTAGTCTGAGGCAAAATAAAATTTGAATCATAAAATTAGGAACACAACAATATATCAGTGTGATAAAACAAAACAAGTTCAAGAACGAAAAGAGCGCCTTGCACTTAGTATGTGCCCAAAAAATATTTGTAAAAGGACAAAAATAAATTAAAATAAAGCCTATTTGGGTTCTCTGTTTCCATTGATTTCAAGTTAACTTTTTGCCACCACTATTCAAAGGTAAAGAAAAATAAAAGTTATCTTTCCAGAATGCTGGGTACCTGGGGCTTATGTCTCTTCTCTTTTTTTGGTGAAGCCTCTTTTGCTTTGTCTGCTATAATTTAGTATACAGTAGATTCAAACATACAACCAAACTTTACTATAGATTAAAAGATATTTGGGGTAAAAATGAGACTAAAAAAAAAAAAAAGCTTGTTTTCTCTTTCCCTTTCAATATCTGAAGACTTAGGCCCTGTCCTTTTTAATCACCTTTCCTACTAAAAGAGCATACTTGACTTTTAGACTGATGCTGAGTTCCTTCTTCAATCTCCGATGCCTAGAGCAGCACAACCACCCATGCCGTGATCCTTGGGTTGTGCCCACAGGAATTCTCTCACAAGTCGCTCTACTATAGATATTAAGCAGCTTCTTTCTAAATTTAAATAGCAGCAGTGATTTTCATTCTCCCCAGATCTTCATTTCTTATTTCCTTTAGAACTCCTCCTGTCTATATTCTTAGGATAGTTCTGAGTCTCTGCATTTAAATTCATTTCTTTCCTCTCTGAATTAGTTTTTATTAGAAGCTCTCTAAATAAAATCCCTTCTTTCCTAACTCCAGCCCAAGTGGAAAGTCCTGGGTGCAATTTCAGGAATCTCAGGGATTTAATATCTCAAATATTACTTACCTTATTAAATACCAATTATGACGTCGTCTTAGGAAGTACCCAATTATCTTCCATAAAAAACAAAAAAAATACAGACATATAATATTCTACCTGTGTCTTAATCCATAATAATTTTTTAGAGAAAAGATTAATTCTATGAAGTTTGTTCCAATGTATTTCAATAATATCTGCTTCTAAAAGGAACACGTGGAGATAATCCAGAGAGCACAATAGTCCATTCCAGGCCAGAGGAAAGCTAAGTAGTTTAGGAATAAATGGTTAGGAATTATTTCAATCTAGCAAATGAAAACGGTTTGTCTGTAGACATGAAGTGATTTACATTGTTTTATCTGAGAAACAGCTACAAAGACTGCTAATAAATATAACTGGAAATTGGTAAAATGAATATGCTCGTCACTAACAAACTCAAACTGGAAAACAATTATGAAACATAGATGCTGAGTATAAGGGTACTGACCAAATTGTTTTTCTTACTATTTTCTAATGACTTGATTTCTTAAAGTTCTGTTTGAGGATGAAAAAAATTTCAAGCAAGTGAACTCATATTTAAATGATCTCCCCAGGAGCTATGAATTCCTGAGTCATTGTCATGACTCAGTTGTTATTATAAATTTACAGCTAGAAATCACATTCTAAGTGTGCAGGATTGTGAGATGAAGCTATCTTTCTTTAATAATAATGATAATAAAGATAATTTAACAATAAAAGTTATCATTTATTGAATGCTTATTATTTGCCAAGGGTTTTATATATTTTTATTTTTGCAGTAAATCAGTGTGTGAAAAGCAAGGCTTTGTACCCAGTAGAGAAATTATGTAAATGAAGTATCTCCTAGAAACTAACTCTATCCTTTTCTTTCTCCCATCTCCAGAGGTTTTTTTGGGTTGTGGTGGTGGTGGTAGTTTTTCTTTCTAAATGTATTAATACTAGAGGTGAATCTGGAGTTTAAGGGAACTTCAGCTGTGTATAGTTGTCAATGAAATAGAAAGAAGTAAAGGAAGTCAAAGGGCAATTGCCATTAGGTGTTAGAATAAAAGAATTATTAAGCTTCAACAGTTAAGCTCAATTCTTTTCACCTGACTTCTGAGTACACAGGCACAGAAAGTCATTGTTACCTGAAATAGGTTGAGATCGAATACTTATAATCCTTTCTTATCCATTTTAGAGAATGTGTCTTAATTATATCAAAAAGCATTGCTAATATACGTCAGCTAATCAAACATGGAAATAACTACAGCAATCTATTCTGTATCATTGATATTGATATTAACGAGCCTTTATCTTAGTCCTCCTGTAACTGATAATTGATGAAACAGGGTAACCACTTACTTCAATATGATAGAAGGCATTGGGATCTCAAAAAACTGTTCTCGAATGGGCACAAAGGGCAAGAGGCCAGTGAAGAACAGGCCAAGAATGAGCAGAACACGTTGTAGACTGAAGAGTATAGGAATGTCTGAATTCTAAAAGACATAAACAATATTATATGTTACTTTACTCCTATCAAATAAAGAGGATTATTTCACACCCTCAATATTTCCCAAGACTGTTATCTTGACATATATTAAAAGTACTCCCTGAATGATCAGTATCCACTTTCAAACTCATGACACTTACAAATGGTGTCAAGATCTATCTTGGAGCCCCTATAGTGTTAATACTACTAAACTTTCTCTATTCCCTGCTCTCTGCTTTTGCAACATCACTTCTGTCTGTTGGTGACAGAGCTTCACACTAGAGATGAAACATACTGAATCTGATGGAACAAGATAAAGAAATGAAGACATGAAATATTCAGTAAATCTACTCTTGTTTATATATAAGATATATAGTCACTTTTTTTAAACAGGATATGGTATAGATATGAATATCTATAGATAATATAATATTAATATAGTATTAATATATATAGTATTAATATATCTGTTGCAAATATGACATCATTTAGCTATGTTATAGGTCAAATATAAACAAGATTTTGTAAGCTGGTCCAAGAATCTAACCATCATTTTAAGTTTGTATTGGAAAATGTGTTCAAGATCCCCAAACCCCTAGAATGCAAGCTTCATATGTATATATGAACTCTTTTCGTCTTGCAAAATTGAAACTCCACACTGTACCCATTAAGCAAGTTCCCTTTCTCCCTACTACTCTCCTATATTTGTCTTTAAAACAAACAAAAATTATGATAAATTTGAATTTTTCTGTACAAAAGTAATACATTGAAAACATCATGCAAAAAAGTAATTTATTTTACATATTAGCTTTAAATTACTCACTTCTTTATTTAAAAAAAAATTGAGTAAATAATTTGAGGATTTCTTTTGCCCCTATGTTTACATGCTGCTTTGTAATATTTTCAGCTTATTTGTATACAGGTGTTTCAGCTGCTACACAATATACAAGTCCCTGAAAAACCTTGATTTCTGCAAATTCATACAGTAAGAATAACAGGACTTATGGGGAAAACAGGGTTAGGAGCCAATCCTCAAAACTTATGCAACTTTAGAACCAGAGAACTAAAAATAATTGTTACTTCTGGAGAGCCATCCCAGGGCAGGGAGTGGTGTGCTGGCATACCACTGACACAATTGGCTGCACTCTGTATCTTTTAAATGAGAGTATTTGGGATGGGACCCAGACATTAGCATTTTTTTGAAAGTGTCAGGTAATTCCAATATATAGCTAAGGTTAATAGCCGCTGCATTAAGTATGAATGAATAAAACGTCATTAAGTGAGAATAAGTACCACATGTTTTCCCACCACTACTGTGTACCCCACTATCTTTTATTTTTTTGTTTTTAGTTTCTAGCATCTGAGAATTAAAGGGCTAATGCAAAATTCTTATAAATCATCCTTTAAGAACTGTAAAAGATCACGACTTAATTAGACAGCGTGTTCATAATATGAATGACAAATATCATTGAGACATTCTCGCCATGATGTTTGAAAATTACTGCTGAAAGTTCTGGAGTTTTAAAATTCTACTATGACGGAAAGCCAGAGGCTTCTAGAAAGATATGCGAATCAAGGGAAAAGTTTTGTGATTCTGGACCAAAGGCGAACTTTTTATTTTGAAATAATTATAGATTCACAGGAAGTTGTAAAAACACGGTAGAGTTCTGTATACCTTTAACCCAACTGCCCTAAATGGTGACATCTGATATAACCAGACATAACAAAACCAGGAAGTGATATTGGTAACACTACTTTTAATTAGACCTTTTTTAATAGACCCTATTCCGTTTTCACCATTTTTTTAACCTGCATTCATTTGTGCATGTGCAATGCAATGTTAGCCCATGTTGAGATTCGTGTAACCACCACCCTAGTCAAGACACAGAACAGTTCCATCACCATACAAGAACTCCCTCGTGCTGCCTCTTTGTATCTGCACCCACTCTCTATCCCACTCTCAGTCTCTGTCCCCTGGCAGCCACTAATCCGCTCTTCGTGTCCACAGTTTTGAGAACATTATATAAGTGGAATCATACAGTATGTAACCTTTTGAGGTTGCCTTTTTTCCCTAAGCAAAATGTCTTACAGGACCATCCAGATGTTGCATGCATCAATAGTTGATTCCCTTTTACTGCTGAACGTATTACACTGTACGGATATGTCAGCTTGTTCAGCCATTTGTCCACTCAAGGGCATTTGGGTCATTTCCAGTATTTCACTATTATGAATAAAGCTGCTATAAACATTCATGTACAGGTTTTTGTGTGTATAGTTTTCATTTTTCTGAGATAAGTGCCTAAGAGTGAGAGTGCTGGTTAATATGGTAAGTGTATGTTTAGTTTTGTAAGAAACTACCCAACTAATTAAGAGAGTGGCTGCAATATTTTACATTCCCACCAGCAATGTATGAGAGATCCAGTTTCTCATCATCAGCATTTGCTACTATCACTATTTTTTATTTGAAAAAAATCTGAATGATGTAAAAAGATCAGCAGGTCATGAGGCCTCTAATATATTATCTCCCTTTTAATGACATGTGAAAATACCACCAGACAATGATTAGTTAAGGAAAAGTCTTAGTCCTAAATTCTTAGGAATCTGAAGCCATTCAGCCCAGTGATTACTCTGTTCTCTCCTTTTGTACACAAGCTACCTTGAGATCTCACAGAGCCTGCTGCACATAAATAAAACTTACTTGCCTTAACGAGGGCCTCAACTGTACTTTTAATGGTGCCGATCTTGGATCTATGTTTTTGCCTTCTTTGCTAGGAAGGAAGGCCTTCCCAAAAGAATTCTTTGTATTTTAGAATTGCTACTTGTGTCATGATATTTCTTCCACACTGTCACTCGTGTTCTGAAAAAGATGCTTCAATGCTTAAGATTTTTTAACATTTTGAATTTCAAATTCTCTTAGCTGACTATATAGCTAAACTTGCTTACAGAGGCTTAGCTTGCCATTTCAAAATATATCAAATTAACTGTTTATAGATGTATTTTCTTCAAACAGAAAAACTGAAGTGGATGGATGGCTCTACTTTCACATACTACCTGACAATCAGGACCCTGGCTTAATTTCCATTTGGGAAGCAAGGTAAAGAGAAGCTTGAGCTACAGAGGTGAAGGACTAAATACTTTCCTTAATTCAAAGTTACACGAAAAATTTCAATTATCTAACAAAAACCAGATATTAAAAGATAGGAATCATATTTGGTTTTATAATGTACATAATAAAATGGTAAATAACTAATATTAGTATGTGAAAATAATAATTCTGTGAGCCAGTCCAATTACATTAAACTAAATTGTAAGGTCTATTATCTCCATTAGATCTATTATCTATAAATCCTTTATCTCTATTAGTAAACTTATGGTTAGTTGCTTCTGCCCAGTACCATCTGTCTGTATCAAGGCTATTAAATACGATAATTTTTAAAAATTATTACTGAAATAACTTTTATAGATATACAACAACAAATATAGATCATTCTGTATCATCTTTAAAGCTTACCTCTTTGTAGCACTTTTCTACAATTTCATAACTGGCATTACCCCACACTGTTATCTGTTCTCGTCTATACAGCTTCACCAACTCTGAGACCTACATGTAAAAATTCAAAAGTTTATGCATGTGCCTATTTGTAAATCCACTTATGTTATTTCACTTAAAAAATGGATTACAACCGACTATCTGCCAGTGAATAGTATAAAATTTTGGAAAAACCAATATATAAATTCACATTTTGTTTTTTTTGAGGAAGATTAGCCCTGCGCTAACTACTGCCAGTCCTCCTCTTTTTGCTAAGGAAGCCTGGCCCTGAGCTAACATCCGTGCCCATCTTCCTCTACTTTCTATTTGGGACGCCTACCACAGCATGGCATGCCAAGCGGTGCCATGTCTGCACCCGGGATCCGAACCGGCGAACCCCGGGCCGCCGAGAAGAGGAACGTGCGCACTTAACTGCTGCGCAACCGGGCCGGCCCCAAATTCAGATTATTTTATAAAATTTAAGAAATTACTTACATTTTACCATTATATGATTGATCTGAGAGGATACAACTATTTATAAATTTGACATTAACTACAAATGAAACAAGTTAAACTAGAAGTAAAGTTAATTATATAAATGCCAGAACAATTGGTTGATAGGAGCTCACTTTTATCCATGACTGAACATCACAACTCACTCTGAAAACAGGCTTTCCCACAGTAAAGCGATCTCCTCTCCCAGGGCATTATTTAAAACACCACTGATCCCTAGAGTATCACATTTCCTTGAACATTATCAATCTATGCAGTCACCTAATCTAGCCTTATTTAGTTTGTGAAATAGGATGCAACACACCCAGAGGAGGCAATGCCTTAAGTACCTTCTTAATCAGCACATTGTTGTTGACTTTGATGTCGATGTTAATGGGAGTGTTAGGAAAGGCCTCAAAAACCTCCTTCAGTAATGGAATTCGGTTATCTTTTCCTTCAGATTGGCATGCTGAGAAAGCAAGATTTTTAAAGGTATTTAAAAAAAAAATAACTTTTTTGATGATTAGAAAAGTTATAGTATGTATTCATAGTAGGACATTTACAAAATGATGAAAAGCATAAAGGAGAAAAGAAAAATCATCTAAAATCCAACAACTTAGATATGACCATTGTGACCATTTGGTGTACTTTCTCACTTCTTTTTCTCCTATGCATAATTAAACAGAGTTACAATATAGTGTACCTACAGATTTTAACCTGATCTTTTTACGTAAGTAAAAAAGATATTGCATGTAATACACTGTATTTATAATTATGATTTAAATTTTTTTCATTAAACTTTTTGAGACAACTGTAGATTCATATGTAGTTGTAAGAAAAATAGAGATCTGTGCACCCTTTACCCAGATTCCCCAATGTAAAACTTGTAAAACATTAGTACAATATTATAACCATATCATAACCATGACACTGACATTGAGATAAGCCACTGATCTTATTCTACAATTATTTTAAAAGGTTTAAAAACACTCCATTGAGTAGCTATATAACAATTTAATGATTTTAATTTAACCATCCCCCTGGAAGGGTAGCAGAGTGTGCCACTCCAGAACACACCTCTTTGGCGTAAGGATCATTTTGAACTGAAGGCAACTGAGAGGCAGATACAAGAAAAGTTCTCTGCCCTCCCCCTATTTGCCTAAAAATAAGACTTAAATTTGTACAAAAATTAATCACCAACAACCCTAACCCAGCACCAGGGGACTCTACATAACAAACTACTGACTAGGCTTTATCTTCCATATTCCCCCATATATTTACCTTCCTACAATTTACCATCTTAGAAACTTAAAGTCCTTTTCCTTTGTCTTGTCACTTCTCTGAATATTTATTGTTGTTTTTTGTTAAGACATTGTATAAACTCAAGTTCTAGCTACCCCTTTGAGTTACTCATCCCTGAGTTTCTCCCATGAGTTGTTCTGAGTGCCATTGAGTTGATTCCAACTCCTACTGACCCTGCGTACAGAAAAGCGGAACCCTGCCCAGTCTTTTTGCACCATCCTCTCAGCTTCCAGCACTACATCAGACAGCACTCCACTGCTATTCACAGGGTTTTCACGGCCAATATTTTCGGAAATGGGTGGCCAGGTCCTTCCTCCTAGTCTGTCTTAGTCTGGAACTCCACTAAAACCTGTCCACCATAGGTGACCCTGCTGGTATTTGAAATACCAGTGGCATAGCTTTCAGCATCACAGGAAGATGCAGCCATCACAGTATAACGACGACGGACAAGTGGTATGATTCCTGACTGGGAAACAAACCCGGGCCTCAGCAGTGAGAGCACCATATCTTAACCACTAGATCACCAGGGCTGGCATTAGCTATAAAGGGTTATTTAAATTAAAATTAAATAAAACTAAAAATTCATTTCCTCAGGTGCACTGGCCACATTTCAAGGGCTCAACAGTCACGTGTGGCTATTGACTATGGTACTGGACGGTGCAAATATAGACCATTTCTATTGCTACAGAAATTGATATTTAGACAGTGCTATCTTAGTTATGTAAAAATTTTGTTCGCTTGTTAAGTGTGGAAAAGTTAATTTGGCAGTCAAAAGAATTGCCATGGGCAATAGCTATTCATACCCAAGTAAGATGTATGCAAGGATCAACTTAGAAAAAGGTCAAAGAGACCAAACTAACTTTGAAACACAAAATGAAACACAACACAAGAAGAGTAATATTGCATCTAATAGTGGAGAAAACAAGGAAATTAAAGTGTGGTAAGAAAAAAAAATGTGTGCTAAAGTGATGCGAAGATATTTAAATTGGACGCCTCGGCCAGCATAGAATGTAGAAAAAGAGCTGGAGAAAGAAGTTTGTCCCCAGTATTGTTCTGGGCAAAGGATAACCAGCTGGGAAATAACTACAAAAAGAGAAAGAGGAAAATATCAGGAAAACAAGAATGCTAGGCAAAGAGTATGCCCTAGGATGTGCTGGGTGGAGGGATGAGTGAAGTAGCCTCTATTGCATGCTAGAACTTTAAAACTGATCATTACAGTCAACTCTAGATCATCCAAATTTATTTTCCATTAAAAAAGGCTACTTTCAAGTAAGCAAGATAAATCCTTTGGTTAATGCATTTTTATGTTCCTTTTTTTTTATATCTATTTATGTTTATTTTGGTGAGGAAGATTGGCCCTGAGCTGACATCTGTTGCCAATCTTCCTCTTTTTGCTTGAGGAAGATTGTCACTGAGTTAACCTCTGTACCTATCTTCCTCTATTTTGTATGTGGGATGCCGCCACAGCATGGCTTGATGAGCGGTGTGTAGGTCCATGCGCAGGATCCAAACTGATGAACCCAGGCCACTGAAGCAGACCATGTGAACTTAACCACTACGTCACCAGGCCGGCCCCTATGTTCCTTCTTTACATTTACTTTTTAATGTAGCCTGTGGCACCTCAAAGCACCTTTTTTTTTTTTTTTTTTAAAGATTTTATTTTTCCTTTTTCTCCCCAAAGCCCCCTGGTACATAGTTGCATATTTTTAGTTGTGGGTCCTTCTAGTTGTGGCATGTGGGACGCCGCCTCAGCATGGCTTCATGAGCGGTGCCACATCCACACCCAGGATCTGAACTGGTGAAACCCCAGGCTGCCAAAGCGGAGTGCGCAAACTTAACCACTCAGCCACGGGGTCAGGCCCCTCAAAGCATCTTTTAAAAGAAAACACTTAATTCCTCTGCAGTAAAGTTGTGAACTACAAAGAAAGGAAGTGGCCTGAAATATGTATTCCTCTGAGAGTTGATAGTCTCTCTTTTTTTAGTATTTAAAGAAAAGTAAACAAGAGTTCTGAGCAGAATAGGATAGGAAAAAACTGAACAACCTTCTGCCTAATCTGAGTCAAGTTTTTATAGTACTATATATTAGTCTGTGTCAAATGCACTAAACTTACATTTAAGGCATAGTCGTAAGTTAATTATGATATGAGTTGAATGCAATATGAACAAAAGTTAATTATTCTTTACAGTTATCTGAAACTTGAAAGTACATGGCATTGCTACTAATAAGGCAATTGAAGAGACTCTTCAGATAGAGAGGCAGTATGTGGCAGCTAGACACTGGCCTGGTAAGAAGGAAACCTAGTGTCAAGTCCTAGCTGTCATTTACTTTTTGTAGGACCTTAACCAAGTTAATTGACATCTTTAGGCTGCAATTTCCTTTTTTATAACAGGAAGAGACAGGATTAATTGCTCTCAAAGGTCTCTTCATATTCAAAAGTCTTATGACTTTATGAGGGAGGCATAAAACCAGAAGAAAATTAAAACATTTTTTCTCAAAGGATCTTTTAATCTCTGTGAGGCTTTGGCTTTGCTCTACAAAGAGAAAAATAGGAAAAACTTCACATATGAAATCTTCTTAACCTTCACAAGTCCACAATTGACACAAATATTAGAATAGCCTGGCAAGTATAATCCTACTAATTACAAGAATGAAAAAAGTGTTTCCTCAAACCAACACAGCTTAATGATACCTACCTGGAAGGCAAGATCAAACAAACATCAGATCTAAACATCCCTTAGAGATAGCTAATTTAAACAATTTTCTGATTTTTATTTGGCTTTCTAAAATTTCCCAGTCAAGGAGAAATTACACTGGCTCATTTTAAATCTAGTTCCTAGAGGAATTACAGTTCTTTCTGAAAATTAATATCAATAGATCCTTGACATTTAACCAAGGTGTTAAGTATATGCAAGCCATATCAAGGACCATCATGTGCAGCATCTGGTAGTTTTACTGAGTTACATCTGAATCATTCAAAACATGAGGCTCAACTGTAACAGTGAGGGAGCCTATGCTTGCTCAGCAAACTGTGCCTCAAGGAGGTGTATCTTCCCTTCTAACATCTTCCATTCTAACATAACAAACGGGGCCAAGGGACATCTTTCTTTGTGAGAAATGTTCCCTCAAAAGAAAGACAACTGCTATGCTGGTGATTAAAAAGTAAAGACGATTAGGAAATGGATGGTTTATTTGAGTAATTGAATTCTCTCTCTCTCTCTCTCTCTGTCTCTTTTTTTCAAGATTGGCACCTGAGCTAACTTCTGTTGCCAATCTTCTTTTTCCTTCTTCTTCTCCTCCCCAAAGCCCCCCAGTACATAGTTGTATTTTCTACTTGTGAGTGCCTCTGGTTGTGCTATGTGGGATGAACCTCAGCATGGCTTGATGAGCGGTGCCATGTCCGCACCCAGGATCTGAACCGGCGAAAGCCTGGGCCGCCGTAGCAGAGTGCGAAAACTTAACCACTCAGCCACGGGGCCGGCCCCGCATCTGGATTTCTTATAGTTAGTATTTAGGCTTAAATTAACTGTATATAAACTTAAGTAGAATGAGCCAGTTAAATCTCTGGGCTTCATAATCCCAGGGTCAAGATTTCAGATTTGTAGGCCTGAGAGAATAAGTTTTGAGGGCAGTACTTTTAGCTGGAACTTACTATGACAAGAGAACATGCAATGTATATCTAATTCTCAGCATAAATTAACACTTCAATGTAAATGTTTAAGCTGCAAATGGGAAATATTACCTTTTTGAAACGCGACATCCAGTTTGCCAAGGTAAGGTGGGAGTTCCTTTAAAAGATATGATTGAAAAAAGTTAGTTCTCAAAAAATAAAGTATTTTAGTGTCTTCCAATAAGACATAAAGATTTGCTTCTTCAAAAAATAGAAGAAAACATTACATATATTTACAGAGAGCACCCTTTAGCAGAACATCCCCAAGAGCAAATTAATCATAATTACTTACTTTCATAAACTACAAAAGAAATCTGTACTATTTAACATGGATCTTTTCTCAGTAATAAATATACAAAGATCTCAGCAGACAAATGTCAAGAATAGACAATTTAGGGGCTGGCCCAGTGGTGTAGTGGTTAAGTTCGTGCACTACACTTCAGCAGCACAGGGTTTGTGGGTTTGAAGCCCAGGTGTGGACCAACATACCGCTCATCAAGCTGTGCTGTGGTGGTGTCTCACATACAAAATAGAGGAAAATAGGTACAGATGTCAGCTTAGGGCCAATCCTCCTCACCAAAAAATAAATAAATAGAAAGAAAAGCAATTCACAGGAAAAAAAAATAACTAACAATCATAGAGAAAAATCTTTAAACTCACAAATAATCGAATAAATGCTAATTAAAATTTAATCTAGCAAATTAGGAAATTTTTGGTATAATTATAAGGCCCAATAATGGTAAAGGTACAGCAAAACGGGAATTCTTCTAATATTAGATTTCAGAACTCTTCTAAACACTTTTAAAAAGCAAGCTGGCAATAGCAACTTTCAATATATATTAAGACACTATAAAATTCCTAACCTTTTACCCAATAATTTCTCTGCTGGGAGTTTATTTAGGGAAATAATTTTATATAGAGAGATAACTTTATCTTTATGTAAATTCTTTTAATAAATATAAATATCATTATATATGTCTTTATAAATATATATTTATATCTTTTAAATAACTTTATATAACCATCTAAATATAGAGAAAGCTCTATCTTTACACATAACGATGTTCAGTACAGTGTTATCTATAATAGTGGAAACTTAGAACAAATTCAAATGTCCAACAATAGAGGAATGGTTAAAAATAATATATATCCACTAAATGGAATAACAGCAGTTATTTAAAATGTTTATGAAAAATAAGCGTGGAATATAAATAGGCTAAATACTATACAATTCCAATGATAGGATATTCTAGAAAAAGCATATCTAAGGAGATAGTAAAAAGATCAGAGGTTGTCAGGGATTAGGTGGGTAGGAAGGATAGGCAGAGCACAGAGGATTTTTAGGGCAGTGAAACTATTCTGTATAACACTATAATAGTGGGTACATGTCATTATACTATGTTAAAACCTATAGAATGTACAACATCAAGAATGAACCCTAATGTAAACTATGGACTTCGGGTGAGATGATACCTCAGTGTAGGTTCACCAGTTGTAACAAATGTACCACTCTGGTGCAGGATGCCGACAGTGGGGGCAGGCTGTGCTTGTGTAGGGTCAGAGGGTATGAGGGAACTCTGTACTTTCTGCTCAATTTTGTTGTGAACCTGTAACTGCTCTAAAAACTAGTCTATTAACAAAAAGAAAAAAAGCACAGAAAAATGTGTACCATGGTATAATGTTAGAGTGTTTAAAAACACAATAAACACAAGATTCAGTGGGATCACAACTATGTAAAAAGGATACAGAGTAGACATAGAGACAGAATCCTGTTAAGTCTTCCTTAGGTGGTAAAATTAGACATTACTTTTCCTTCCATTTATCATATTACTATAATGATCATGTAAACTACTGACAGATTTTTAAAGGGTCCTTTCCTATACTTGAAGACTAAAACTAATTCATATATTTAATCTGAATCAAATAAATTGCAGACTTCAAGAAAGTTGAACTTTAGTAGTTTTACATTTGAAGGCTTTGGTAATTTTGTTAAAATACCTATAAAGTAAGTCTTCATAGACATATCTAGTGAGTACAAATCCTTGCTGGAAGTCAGAATAGTTTTTAAAATTTCCTTTGACATTCATTATTTAACCACTAGAATTTATTTTTTTATTATTTATCGAAGAACTATCTGGCATTCACTGTTTTTAAAAACTTTATAGGCCTTAGTATCTATCAGATATTAGTTTTATCATGCATTTTTCCTTACACAGTACTTCAGATCAGAGATGTTTACATTGACCCCGGTTGATCTCTTCAGATTCTCATCATGTGACACTACAACTTGTTCATCCTTTGTGATATGGCAGTCCAATTCCAGCATATCAGTTCCAATTGTAACTGCACTGAAGAAATACAAAGAAAAATAATGACACCCTGGAACTTCAGTAAACATTTAGGTTACATGGATCAGATGTAAAACTTCAGAGTTACAAATCAAATAGCAAATTAAATTCCACAATTTTAAATTTCTCAATACTGTCATCTATTATATTTTACTGATGTGAAAATATTCCCAGTGAATTTAGAACAAGAGAATCATGGTGCGTCATTTCCATAACCAGCTATCCTTATTTCTGTCAACCCAATACAATGGAAAGAACACTGGACCAGAGGTTGAGAGATCTGAGTGCCAGTTCCTGCTGTGCTAAAAACTTGCTGCATAACTTTGGGCAAGTAAATGTCCTTCTCTCGGCCTACATTTGCACATCTATAAAATGAAAGGAGTAAAGAATAAGAAATGAATGCCAGCTTTTACCACTGTAATTCAACAGAGGATGAGAAATTCTAGCCACAGCAATTAAGCAAGAAAAAAAAGGGGGGGGGCCTTCAAATTGGAAAGGAAGAAGTAAAATTATTGCTGTTCACAGATGACATGATCTTATATGTAGAAATCTTAAAGATTCCACACACATAAAGACCTGGTAGAAGTAACAAACTCAGTAAAGTTGCAGAATATAAAATCAACACACAAAAATCATTTGTGTTTCTATATACTAACAACAAAAAATCTGAAAAGGAAATCATAAAACAATTCCATTTGTGATAGCATCAAAAAGAATAAAAAACTTATGAATTAACTTAACCAAGGAAGTGAAAGACTTGTACAATGAAAACTACAAGACATTGCTAAAAGAAATTAAAGACGGGGCTGGCTCCGTGGTGCAGTGTTTAAGTTCAGTGCACTCCACTTCGGCAGCCCAGGTTCACGGGTTCAGACCCCAGGTGCAGACCTACACCACTCATCAGCCATGTTGTGGTGGCAACCCACATATAAAGTGGAGGAAGACTGGCACAGTTGTTAGCTCAGTGATAATCCTCCTCAAGCAAAAAAAGGATTGGGTCCGGCCTGGTGGTATAGCAGTTACGTTTGCACGCTCTGCTTCGGCAGCCCAGGGTTTGCCGGTTTGGATCCCAGGCATGGACCTATGCATCACTGATCAAGCCATGCTGTGGCAGGCATCCCACATATAAAGTAGAGGAGGCTAGGCATGGATGTTAGCTCAGTGCAATCTTCCTCAGAAAAAGAGGAGGATTGGCAGCAGATGTTAGCTCAGGGCTAATCTTCCTCAGCAAAAAAAAAAAAAAAAAAAAAAGAAGACGAAGAAGAAGAAAGGAAAAAGAAATTAAAGAAGATATACATAAATGAAAAAATCCCACGTTCATGGATTAGAACACCTTATATTGTTAAGATGTAAATACCATATACATCTACTGATTCAGTGCAATTCCTACCAAAATCCCAATGATGCTTTTTGCAAAAATAGAAAAATTCATCCTAAAATTTATATGGAATCTCAAGGAACTCCAAATAGTCAAAACAATCTTGAAAAAGAGAATAAAGTTGGAAGAATCACACTTCCCGATTTCAAAACTTACTATAAAGCTACAGTGATCAAAACAATATGGTACTGGCATAAAGACAGACATATACACCAATGAAATAGAATAGAGAGTCCAGAAATAAACCTTCACATATATTGTCAAATGATTTTTGACAAGGGTGCAAAGAGCATCCTAAGGGGAAAGGACAGTTTTCAACAAACGGTGTGGGGAAAACTGGAATGTAAAGAATGAAGTTGGCGGGCCAGCCTGCTGGTGTAGTGGTTGGGTTTGTGTGCTCCACTTTGGTGGCCAGGGTTTGCAGGTTAGGATCCCAGACGCAGACCTGCACACTGCTCATTGGGCCATTTTGTGGTGGCGTCCCACATCAAAAAGTAGAGGAAGATTGGCACAGATGTTGGCTTGGTGACAGTCTTCTGCAGGCAAGAAGAGGAAGACTGGTAAGGGATCTTAGCTCAGGGCAAATCTTCCTCACCAAAAAAAAAAAGGGAGGGGAGGGGTTGGATTCCTACCTAAGACCATATCCAAAAATAAACTCAAAATTGACCAAAGACCTAACTATAAGAATTAAAATGAAAAAACTCAGAAGAAAACATACAAGAAAAGTTTCATGACATTAGATTTGGCAATGATTTCTTGGAAATGATATCAAAAGCACAGGCAACAAAAGGAAAAACAGACAAATTGTACTTCATTGAAATTAAAAAACTTTTGTGCATCAAAGGACACTCAACAGAGTAAAAAAGGCAACCACAGAATTGGATAAAATATTTGCAAATCATCTATCTGATAAAGAATTAATATCCACAATATCTATAAAGAACTCCTAAAACTCAACAACAACAAAACAAACAACCCAATTCAAAAATGAGCAAAGGACTTCAAAAGATATTTATCCAAACAAGATGTGCCAGCATCCTTTTAAATACATAAGCACCCATGATTCTTATTTGGCACGTGAATCTCCTCAGTGGGATGAACGTACCTTCTGTTTTATAAACTCAAAACACCTAATATAAAAATACGACATATCAATTAAAGAATAAAATTTAACAATCAAGTAAAAGTTTCTTAATGTTTCTCAAAAATGTGTGCTAATTCATTTGGTTAGAAAAGAAAGAATGAGGTTGTGGGAAATGCATGCATCCAATGATAGGAGTTGGATTAGGTGATTTTTAAGATCCTTGCCATCCTAGATCCAATGATTCTAAAATTATGAAACTGGCCAAATGTGCCTTTGAAGCCAACCACTTCCCCATTTTCTCTTACTTCGCCCACTTCTGATGATCCACCCCAATCAGCGTCCCATTCCAAAAGAGCCAAGGGCCACTTGCTGCCTTGTGCCAAAGACTCATTCTGCTCCCTACTCCTCCTTAAGTAATCCTCCCCTTTTAGTGTCCTGATTACTACCAGTTGCTAGAGGAAAACAAACAAACCTGGCTCCTTAAGGTGATTCTTGCTAAGATGTAAATAATTAAATTGTTAATCTTATGTACCCTCTTCTAAAGGACAGCCACCTTTAAAAGAGAATACCTGCTTGCCAACTGTGTGTTTGCTAGAACCACAATGTGTAAAATAAAATCTAAAATAAGCAAACAAAAACAGTTTTTAGGTGGGTAGAGTTACTTTTCTGTATTTTTAAATTTCCTTAAATACTGTTGTTACATTCTGTTTCATTTAAAAAAGAACAAAATGTAGAAACTGCAAGCAATATATATAGCCAGCAAACAGTTTTGAAATAAAATTCTAAGATCTTTTATATAGAAAAAAAGGTACTACTGATTTTTGGGCACATCCATATCTTTTTTCTTCTTTTGTTTTTGTTTTGTATGAGTGTGTGAGGGGAGAGTAAGAGTAGGAGTTATCTATAATTTTCTTGTATTAAAAAAATTATGCACATGACAAGAATCTTTCTGAGTATGAAATTTGCTTTTAGCTGAAATGTTGCCTATTTTTAGAAATGTTTAGGAATTATATGAAAAATATTTTCTGTTTATTGTATGCTTATCTTATTAACAAGCTAATAAATACAAATTAAGAGCAATAGAGGGCTGGCCCGTTGGTGCAGCGGTTAAGTGCGCACGTTTCGCTTCTCGGCGGCCCGGGATTTGCCGGTTTGGATCCCGGGTGCGGACATGGCACGACTTGGCACGCCATGCTGTGGCAGGCGTCCCATATATAAAGTAGAGGAAGATGGGTACGGATGTTAGCTCAGGGCCAGTCTTCCTCAGCAAAAAGAGGAGGATTGGCAGCAGTTAGCTCAGGGCTAATCTTCCTCAAAAAAAAAAGAGCAATAATTTGTAAATTATCCTAATAAAATTATTCCAAATTTGATATACAAGTAGCTAAAACATAGTGAGAAAAGAACACTTTTTTATCACTTTGGCCTTCAAAATTTTCCATAAATAACAATATGCATCTACTTCAATTGAAGCACCAGATATTTTACAGCTGAATTTCTGACAAGCTGATAACAAACACAGAAAAATGTTATAGAAGCCAAGGCTTCAACATTTCCAGAAAAAGAAATAAAAACTCTAGTTCTAAAAGAAGATGTGAAGTTACTTGAAATTCCACAGAAATAATGCATAACGACTTACAACAGACCATATGTTAAGGCATTTATTTGAATCTTATTTACTCCTCACAACATTGAGGTTGTATTATTATTCCCATTTCATAGATGAAATAATTAGTATTGTATTAATTAGATATTCTAAAAAATTTATCATGAGAACCAGGCCACTGATTAATTAGTTTGCCTGTCTGCCAACCTATACTTCCAGCTCTTGCTAAAATAATTTGTTTCTCTCTCTTAACCACTCATGTTAATCCCACAGGGATCAAATTGTCCTGTGGGTATTTAGAAAGGCGGCCTGGTTTAATAACCTAGTTTTATTAGCTCTTAAGAACCAGATTTTACATACTCAAGGGCTTAGTGACTCTGTGTGTGTGTGTGTGTGTGTGTGTGTGTGTGTTTAGTTCAATTCCTTAGTTTTGGGTTCTATGTTTATTATGAGTAGGGTTCTGTCTCCTGCTAATATTCTGCTTTGTTCTTGAGTACCCCATGCCACATCTCATTCAGTAAGCAACTAGTGAGAATCTATTAGCACTAGAGCTAGATGTTAGGGATTGAGAGATCAATAAGGAAAGATTCTTGCTCCCAAGGAATCACAGGAGAGCCATATTCATAACCTAAGGTGTTTATGAAAGCATTTTATAAACCACATTAAAGGACTTGTTATAAACTGTGAAGTGCAATTATTTCTCTTTGTCAGTTCTAATTACCTATTTAGCTCCACTATAATAGAATGAATTAATTTTCCATACATTCTTAAGGTCCTTTCAATTTCCTAAACATACCTTGTCCACATACCCTCACATCTTAATCTCAAACATTTCACATTTTAAAAATAGCTTCTTCCTCTCTACTAAATGACAGCTCTTCTAGTCCTGATAAATTTTCAATTTTCTGGTTAATCTTAACCAGGCTTCCCACATGAACCACTTACACTTTCTCTAATATCTTCTTGTCTTCACCTCCATGTCATAATATGCTTTGTGAAGTGTATGTCTAAACATGTACATAAATAACATCTTTTAGCTGCTCATTATATTTTTACTATTTCTCCATCATTTATTTATCTTATCAAGGACATACCATACTTAAGAACAGTATCTGTCTTTTGCCAATTATGTACTACAACTCTTTACCTTTTTAACTATAGTAACTTGAAAACAGTATGTTTAAACAATTTTTTCTTGTTGTTCACAAAGTAGGTATGTTTAAAAAAAAAAAAAAACTTTCTAAGTGTCCTAGCAGTTAAATAGTAGAATATTTGTAATTTTTAAAAAAAACTACAATAAAAAAGTGCTTATTGACAGCACGGGCACTGATGCATAAGATAAAACAAAAACCAAAAACCACTACCACCACCACCACCACCAATTTTTTTTTTGCTGAGGAAGATTCACCTAAGCTAATATATGTTGCCAATCTTCCTCTTTTTTAACGTGAGCTGCCAACACAGCATGGCCGCTGACAGAGTGGTGTAGGTCCACACCTGGGAACTGAACCCAGGGTGCCGAAGCAGAATGCGCCAAACTTAACCACTAGGTCACCAGGGCTGGCCCAACAAATTTTAAAAGAGGTTAAAATTAAAGCCCATTTGATTTCGGTTTTACATAAGTTTCAAAGTCAATTAACAAGCAGCCTTACAAATAAATCCAACAAACACTAACAATAACATATGGAAGAGCTGCTTTCTTCTTCTAAAGTACCAGAAAAACTTCCAAAAAACTAAATTTATAGAAAGCTCCCACATGATAATTAGAGATGGCTGTGACACTTTTCAATAGTTACTGCTTGAATAAACAATACAAAAACTGCTGAAGATGAGAAATGTAATGTTGGCACCGGCCCCGGGGCCAAGTGGTTAAGTTCGCATGCTCTGCTTTGTGGCCCAGGGTTTCGCCAGTTTGAATCCTAGGTGCAGACATGGCACCACTCATCAAGCCATGCTGAGGCGGCGTCCTACATGCCACAACTAGAAGGACCCACAAGTAAAATACACAACAATGTACCGGGTGACTCTGGGGAGAAAAAGAAAAAAAAAAAGTAAAATCTTAAAAAAAAAAAAAAAAGAAACGTAATGTCGTAGCTAGCAAGTAAAAACCATCTATTAGATATTCTTTGAATATCAAAAAAAATTTCAGAGGATCAAAATCTTCAAAGACAAAAAACATTTATGTACCATCCTAAGAAATAATTTATCATAGAAATGTACCATCCTTAGAAAGAGTTTATTATACAGCTCACTTTTTAAATTTCATAAACAAGGGTGGTTGGTAAAAAACTAACAAAAAATATGGAGAAAATCTTACAAAATAATATACTTTAAACATAAAGAATGCTAAAATCACTCATAGTTGTGAGCAGTTTTTTCTCCCATTAATACATATCACTATATCTCAGGCAACAAATATTTCACAAATGATACTGTGTGTCAGTAGAAATTACACACACAATATTATACATATATATTTAACTATAGCTAGCTAGTAGAGAAGATGACAAAGTAATTTAAAGTATTCTGTTTCACAGTCTGTAACAGGTGGAAAAATTTCGCATTTTAGAGCTCTAAGAGACTTTTGAGATTATAGTCAAAAGGCATCATATCATAGAACAGGAAGAGTAAGCAATGACAAACACAAGGTGATAGGATTTGGATGAAACTGGAATATGAAGATGCGGTACACATGGACCTGGTAACAGGGAAAATAATCTCTAAGGTGTCTTTGAATGATGAGAAGCAGAACAAAAACTTAAGCCAAATTCTCCTGATTTCTTAGCCCCAATTGTATGCATAAAAATGGCTCAAAAATTATATAAGAAAATATTTTTCTTAATAGATATGGATAGGCAATGTCTTTCATGGGATTTAACTTTTCACATTCCCTGTCTTATTTTTCAGGGAAAAGAAAACAGTGTTCTCATCATTACCACAGACTGATAATAATCATTTATTCTAAGATAAGAACAAGGTATCAATCAGCTTTCATTCCTGTCTCTCCTGATGCTTCTCTATGAGGTGCTCTAAAAGACATCTATATGAGATGTGAATAATTTAAAAATTGAAAAAAATTTAATTTACCTCATTTAAAAAAATAAGATCAACACCCATAAGGCTTTAAAGAAGAAAGACCAGATTACAGGTTCACAGTTACAGAAGAATCACTGCGTAAACACACAACTCTATTCATAAACAGCAGCCAATATAACAGTTGTTTCATTTTTCTCCTTTTCTCTTTCTCTCCAAGACTAATTAGCATTACACACAGTATGTTCCTTGTTACAAATGTCTTCTTTCAGCTTTGGAACTATAGTATCTTTTGATTACTCAAAACTCTGATCTAGATTTTTGGTTATACAGAAGCCAAACACTCCTTGGTAACACTTCAGACTAACTAAATAAAAAAAGCGATTTTAATAAAATAGAAACAACTGCCACAAGTGCGTGCTACACGTACACTGTCTTCCCTTTGTGAATCACCATCACTTTAAAGATAAACTGTAAAAGAAAAGAATACCTTTTTATATACTTACTGCTGAAAGGCTGCCATTGTATTCTCCAAATTTTCTCCAGCACCTGTGAAAACATGAAATTTAAACTTCACTTACCTAATTTGAATATTTTATTTTTCCAGAAATTCATTTTAGTAAGATATATCGAGTGAATTTGATGTTTATATATTATGCAGACGTTACAACTGTTTTAAAAAGTGTAATGGAAAAAAAGTGTAATGGTATTTTAAATTGATTTTTAGCTGTACCAGGAACGATCAAAGACCAAAACACGTAGCCACAGTAACTCAGGAGGGTTAGAAGAGTCTAAACATGATTTTTAAGCTATATCTGTTGTCATAGGAAATACAGAAGAGAACTTGGTACATATAGCCCTCCTCAGACAGAGTTAAACTGTCTCTCCTCTGTATCCCCACAGTCTCTTACGCGTCTCTCCACTGTGGCATTTACCATGTTATAGTGTAAGTTATTTAGCTGTCTCTCTCCTCCCTTTTCCGTGAATTACTTAAAAGAAGTGATTGTGTTTTAATTACCTTGGCTGAAGGCAGTATAACGTAGCAGTTAGGGGTGGGACTCTGGAGTTAGTATCTCTGCTCTCAAATCTGTTTGATACTTGTGTGACCCTGGGAAAGCTGCCTAACCTCTCTGTGGCTGAGCTTCCTTATGTATAAGAACAATGATGATACCTCACTCATAAGATTGGTATAATCAAACGAATTAATATGTCAAGTGCCATATGTCATCAATTTGAAAAACGATAGCTTTTCACTTTTTAACATCTCTGAAGTTAGGGTGCTTTCTACAATGGATGGTGTGTAATAGTTTGGCAAGATTTTCTCTTTCATAGCAGTACATAAAAAATTGTGCATCTTACAACCAATGGCATTAGATTCAATGAAGCAGTGAATATTCTGTGAAAGTAAAGGATTATCACTATTTAATTATTATTATTGCCATTGTTATAGTAACTGGTGCTTGGTGAACATCCATGGACTGAAGTAACAAATAATATTGTGATGACCAAAAGAACACAGATAAAAAGTATCTAATTATCTAATATTATATACTAGATAGAATCAATTAGCGTAACACATGCTAGCCATAAGTTTTTAAATATTTTAAACTAAAAGATTTCAGTGTTGCTAAATAATTAATAGAATGCACAGAAGAATACTTTGGAAATACTTCTCCAAATATTTTGGAAAAACAGCCAATTTCTTCTTAACAAAGAGGCACTTCAAGTGTAGGGCACTGTTTAAAGATGGGCATTAAAATGTTTTATACACTGTACGATACAATCTGAACATACTTAGGAGAGTATTAAAATTTTCTTCTTTTATATTGTTAGACTGTATTTCTATGGCAACCTAATAAATAATCAATGGAAACACAAGGTATAAAGAAACAAATATACTAACCTAATGTTCTAAAGTTCCGTGAGTTTAGCAGAGAGAAAGGGCTATCTATGTGAAAAAAAGCTACTCTGACTTTACGTTCACTTTAGTTACCACAGTTGACGCACAATAGAAAATGGATCAAGTAAAAATGGAGATTGTATATTTTTTCAAAAGTAAATGCTCTTTTGAGATTAAATGACTTTTAAAAATCTAGTTTGTGTTTGCTGTAGTCAAAAACTATGAAAATATGTTATATTCATTTGATCTATATTCAAGAACAAAGCACTGTAGAATATTACCAAAAAGACAAGAGTGCTAAAATGGTTCTTAGTACGTTAAGTTAAACTCTGACTGCTTGTTATGCCAAAAAGCAAGGAAGTTAAAAGGATCCAGAAGCCAGTTTGAAGGAGCTCTCACTGGCTAAACCTGCGACAAAATCAGCTTCAAAATAAAGACAGTAACAGATTTCAAACCACTGAATAAACTAGGAAATTCTGAGTCCATTTTAATAAATGGACTGAAAGTTTGATAAGGAATGGAGTATTTATGTAGTTTTAAAATAACTGCTGGGCCGGCCAGGTGGTGTAACAGTTAAGTTCCTACGCTCTGCTTCAGCAGACCGGGGTTCGCCAGTTTGGATCCTGGGGCGCCAACCTCCGCACCGCTTATCAAGCCACACTGTGGCAGGTGTCCCACATATAAAGTAGAGGAAGATGGGCACACACGTTGGCTCAGGGCCAATCTTCCTCAGCAAAAATAGGAGGATTGGTGGTAGATGTTAGCTCAAGGCTAATCTAACTCAAAAAAATAAATAAATAAAATACCTCCCTACAAAAATAGTTATTTATTACAAAGAAAAAAAATGTAATTTCACACTGGAAAAATTTGGCAGACACCACCTTCACCAAGTGATCAAAGTCAACATCATTAGCTCCTTCAAGTTGACTCCTATACTTTTAATATCCTTGTTTTTTGGCACAATGAACAGTCATTAGCTTAACTTTAACAAATCAAATTAATAGCAATTATCTCCAGATGGTCAAAATACAAATGACTTCTTTTCTAATATGCATTCTTCTAGACCTTACAAATTCTCTACAATGAATACATATTAGTTTTAAAATAGGGGAGAGAATCAAAGTCTTAAGCACATGCCATAATGTCTGGAACATTCTCTTCACCATAGCCTCCCAATCTTTCTTCACCTTAACTTAATTCTAGAATGAATTCACTTCTCAACTTCTCCATAAAACACTTTCTTACCACTTCAGATTACAACGATTCTTCTTACAGACAAGAGTTAATGCCTTAAACTGGCAATTCCCAACCTCTTTGGTCTCAGGACTCTTTCACTGAGTACTTCAAAGAGCTTTTTCATTATGTGGGTTACACTCATTAAAATTACATATTAGAAATTGACTTTTAAAAATTGTAATTTACTTATTTGAAAATAACAATAAACCCATTACATGTTAACATAACATTTTATGAAAAATAACTATCTTCCAAAAAGAAATGTAATAAGAAGAGTGGCATTGTTTTACATTTTTGCAAATCTCTTTAATGTCTGGCTTAATGAAAGGCAGCCAGATTCTCATCTCTGCTTCATACACATATATCAACCTTCACACAGATACACGGTTGGAAAAGAAAGATTCTTTGACACTGCACCAAAATTCAACAAGTGGTAGTTTCTTAAAAATTAGCTGTAATGTTAAGTCTGAACCATATCAATGACCTTTTCATACTCTATTACATGAAAATCCATTGGTCAATCATGAACTTTGAGTGGATCTTTCACCCATGCATGGTTTTATAATATCATGCATTGGTCTTCTGGAAAATACGGATTCACTGAATTATGCTGATCTTCTAAATGTTGACACATTTCACTATACAGCATTTTTTAAAAATCACATTTGTTAATATCTGATCTCATCAGGAAAATCTTTAAGAATTGGAAAGCTACCAAGCTCACAGTGGAGGATACTAGTTTTCCAAACTTCTAATTTTTGCTTGAAAGTTCAGATTTAATCATTGGCCCTGCCTTAATAGAAAGTGGCTAGATTATTTTTCTTCTAATGACAGACTCACTTTATTAATTTTCAAGAACACATCTGCCAAATACTCATCTGAACAACCAGTTTGTCAGTCAGTTTTTTAAGTAAAAATGGTGTTCTGTGGAAAAAAATAAAGACGAATTCAGCTCATAACTCAAATGTTTGCACAAGCACTTTTCCTCAAGACAACTATCACCACACTTTGGTATGCAGCCAAGTGTTTTGTGTGTGCTTCCAATTCTGTCACACAGAATATTAAAAGTTAAGTGTACTTAAGGGGTGAAATTTTTTGTTTCTTAAAGATTGGCAGCTGAGCTAACATACGTTGCCAATCTTTTTTTTTTTTCCCCCTTCTTCTCCCCAAAGCCTCCCAAAATACAGTTGTATATTCTAGTCACAGGTCCTTATAGTTGTGCTATGTGGGACCCTGCCTCAGCATGGCTTGATGAGTGGTGCTAGGTCCAGGCCCAGGGTCCAAACCAGTGAAACTCTGGGCCGTGGAAGCAGAGCGCCCGAACTTAAATGCTCAGCCATGGAGCTGGCCCCTCAAGGGGTGAAATTTAATTAAATTTATAATTTTTACTAATTCAAAGATATTCTTTTTTTTTTTGCTGAGGATGATTAGCCCTGAGCTAACATCTGTTGCCAACCTTTTTTTCTTTGCTTGAGGAAGATTAGCCCTGAGCTAACAACTGTGTCAATCTTCCTCCATGTTATATTTGCTCACTACTACAGCATGGCCAACAAGTGGTGTAGGTCCACGCCTGGATCCAAACCCGCAAACCCAGACTGCCAAAGCAGAGCACGCCGAACCTAACCACTACGCCACAGGGCCGGCCCCCATCAAAGATATTCTTAAGTAAAACAGCTTTTTTTAAAAAAACTGAGAGCATGACAGTGAAGAATGCAGTGGCTACTAGTACACTTAGTAATACACTAGTACATTTACTGCTTTCATTCGTGCTAAAGCAACAGCAGTTTTGCCCAGCACTGCTTTTGCACGATCAGTACAAATGTCAACAAAGTGAAAAAGGTAAATAATGCCTTATGAAAATAGTTTTGACCTTGTAGACCCATGAAAGGTCCTAGGGATGCCCAGAGTCCACAGATCACACTTTGAAAACCACTGCCTTAAACAATCAATGATGATAAGTCAGAGGAGTGGTTACCTGTGTGGATGAAGGAGGATAGACTGGGAAGGGAACCAAGAGGATCTTGTGGGATTCTAGCAGTATTCCATATCTTAACCTGAGTGGTCGTTACCCGGGTTTATACATATATATATTTAAAAAATTAAGCTGTATATTTAAGGTTACTGCTACTACATGTAAGTCATCCTTAAATTTAAAAAGAAGCCTTTAGTTCTAAGTCTTATGATTTTCATATTCTGGTATATTCAACTAAACCCTAAGAAGGCTTTTTGAAGGCAAATATTGAGGGAAACATCTATCCTCCACTCCCTGTTTCCACCTGGTGAAGGAAACTTCCACTCTAGTTCCCAAGAAGGGAAAAGAATGGAAGGAACACCTTTTTTTTTTTTGGTGAGGAAGATTGGCCCTGAGCTAACAGCTGTTGCCAATCTTCCTCTTTTTGCTTGAAGAAGATTG